GGCCGAGGTGGAGGAATTGGTGGAGGTGGAGCGGATGGAGGTACCAAAGGGCTCTTCACTTGAGCTGTGGAAAGGAGAAAAAAACGGGGTCAGTGCCATGAAAATCTGTTGTGAATTATTTTCTTTAATGGAGATAATCACGAGCAATTAAGGTCGACTGTCATTAGCGAATTTATGAAGATTAAAAATGAAGGGAAACGTGACTTGCATGATACAACAGCTATAATTGCTATTAAAAGCCATAAAATATTTGAATGATGCACTACCTAAAACCTTGTATAAGTAGCAAGATTCGCCTCACGTATAATTGTTGATACATGCCAATTACATCCTCCCCCATGCTAAAACGCCCTCCAAATTCGATACTGTACACATAACTCAATCCTCGCATCACGGGGAATAAAGCTAATTTACCTACCAATTAATAGCAGCTTACCGGAAGTAAAAGTAATTGGACTTAAACATTTACGGGTGATGGCACCCCAAAAACGATGCATATGAATAAAATGCCGAGGTTTTAGAGGGGAGCAAGTGTGGTGCTGGCGAAAATATGAGTGGTGCTGCAGAAGGGTACGTACTGTTAGGAAAAGGATGCATGAATGAAGTGTAGGAAGCAGTGACATAAATGCAGTGTAGGTGTTACACTGTGTATAAAGTGTAGGAGGAAAAAACGGAATGGAGCGAGGAGTCATCATGTGCATGGTGACTGTGGTGCGTTGAGTGTGATGTACGTTAATAGCACAGTCTGTAGGTGTGTGTGTGGTGGCCAGAGGAACAGGGCAAATGCCATCCGGTCTCCAGCTGACCTCACTTTCGCCAGATGTGTCTTGTTATGCTTGAACACTCTCATATATTCTTTATTTTTAGAACTTCCTTGGTTCTTTTGCTAACAAAAACAAACAAACAGACAAAGATCCAAAAACAGACAAAATATTCTCCAAGGGTACTATATTTCATCAAAACGAACAATGCTAAATTTGTCTTTAAAATTCGGCCCTTTGCAAAAACCGCCGAAGAGCACCAAGCAAAAATACAGGTCTCATGGCAGTCTCAAGGTCGCAGGATGGCGTGTTAAACCCCTTGTGACAGTGGCGGATCTCCTCCACACCCTGTCGTTGCGCCACTGCGTTTGTTCCTACCCAACGTTGCCCTCCGAGAACCTCCAAGGAATTTATAGCACTTCCCAAAAACAAGGCGTTAGCGCTTTCCTCATTCAAGACGGCACAGACGGAAAAGAAAATTTATTTCGAGAACTACGAGGATGTACCTTATCTGTGAAGTTTCTGTGGTCGACCGCACGTACATCTTTAAGTTTATGGCTGGGTGTCATGATGCATAACGACACGCATGCTTTCGCCCTCTTGCGCTCTCGTTGCCCTACCCCCTGTATTTTCCTTTTATTTATAGACTCATTTCCTTTATTGCCACAACGACATTAACCAAGTACATTTTGCATTAGGAAAAAAACGTACAGACGAGTGTGTAAATAGCCAGTGCATATACTCTGACTTACAGACGTCCTGGCTAAAAAATATATATAGGTCATTTTTGGCGTTTCTGTCATTTTCATGTATACAGAGGAATATAATTTTCTAAACTCAATAAGTACATATAGACTCACTCATTCTCTCTCTCACTCTCTCTCTCTGTGCGGTCTCTCTCTCTCTCTCTCTCTCTCTCTCTCTCTCTCTCTCTCTCTCTTATTAAGGATAAAACTTTTATAGAGATGTACGGTAAATACATCTCGTTATATATAAATGTAACTATGGTTATGTTAATGACTGATATTTAGTTTTATCTAGCTGTATCACCATGTGTAGGCCTATAAATAACTAATAAATACGGTTTTGAACATCAGAAGCAAAGTTCTCGCTGAAACTGTAAAAATAAAAGAAAAGAAAGAAAGAAAAACAAAAAACGATTTCTCTCTAATAATTAATTATATGATAAACATAATATGATGATACTACAAACATTTCCGATGATTGATTACTTTCTAAAATCGCTGACCCACACATCCACTTTCACTCGTTATCTAAATTTCGCCACATCCCTCCTTTCCCCTAATTAATGGAGTTAAATATTTAGGTTAATTAGTCACGGTGCCACGAAGCGTCGGGAGAACAATTGCCTCTCATCCGATATATTTAATATCAACATTTCCCTTAGCTTCCGCCCTGTTTACTCAAATTTCGTTTTCTGTTTCCTTCATTTGGATATGCATCTATTTAGCCATTCGCGTCTTTGTATCTTTTCAGCGTTTAGGAATGAAAAAGATGAATAAATAGCAATAAGAAACGGATAAGGTAAGGGGAAATACTAACAATTTTTGACCATAAACTCACAGGCAACGAGGTTAAGTCAAGTAACATAATATTTACATGACACTTACAACCGAACATGACATTTCTGAGTTAAAAGACCTTTAAAAACATCACTGCTACGTTTTAAAGCCGGCATTTGAACAGCAAGACAGAAATGTAAAATTCCTTCCCCATAAAGGTCGTTATTACAGATTTTATCATTTTAGTTTTTTTTTCACTTCAAAATACTCATTGTAACTCTATTTAGCTTTTTCTGCATGTATTGATTTAAATTTAACTACCCATTCAACAACAAAATAACAAACAAAAACATAGGCCTACACACACTTACTCTATACACACACACACCTACAGCGCACGCACAAACACACATAAAACCCCCAAAATACAATACCTACACCTACAATGTAGACCCACAAACATAGTACTTCCGTATATTTTCCCCGCATAACGCGAAATGCAATAGAGAGAGAAATCGTGTGACCTACTGGTGCTAAAGGTTTCAGCGGCCCAAAACAAAACAAACAAAGAGCAGAGGCGTGTGGAAAGGGTGGCTGGGTCGGGTCACTGGAACAGACGTGAAATACATAGAGTACATACTGGCGGGGAGAAAGCGGGAAGGGTTAAAGGTTGGATAGAGGGAGGGGAGAGGGAGAGGGAATGGGAGAAGGAGGAGAAGGGGAGGGAATGGGAGAAGGAGAGGGAGAGGGAATGGGAGAAGGAAAAGGAGAAGGAGAGGGAGAGGGAGATAGAGATGGAGAAGGAGAAGGAGAAGGAGGAGAAGAGAGAGAGAGAGAGAGAGAGAGAGAGAGAGAGAGAGAGAGAGAGAGAGAGAGAGAAGAGAGAGAGAGAGAGAGAGAGAGAGAGAGAGAGAGAGAGAGAGAGAGAGAGAGAGAGAGAGAGAGAGAGAGAGAGAGAGAGAGAGACAGAGAGAGACAGAGAGACAGACAGACAGACAGAAAGAAAACCAGAGACAGAATCTAACCTAATACATTTCTCAAAATGTAGAGCATATCTCTTCCCATGCTCCGCCTATACGCATCCTTCTCCATCCCTCCCTCCCTCTCTCTCCCAAACGTGTCTGCCTCATGTCCTCCTCCTACGCCATCCTGTCACCAGCTTTTCCGTCTCCCTGGGGTCCTTCCCACGGGCTCACTCCTCACTCTCCTGCCTGCCTCTATTTTCACCGCATGTCCTTGTCATATTTCTCTCTGACCTTTCCTCGCTCGTCTTTTTGCTGCTCACACGACCCTCGCTGTGCGTCTATTTCTATATTCTTGGACATACCACGTTTATTTTATTTTATTGAAATAATATAACTATATTTGCTTTTACATTTTCCCAATTTCTATCTTTTATCTTATTACTATAGTTTCTTTTATCTTATTACTTTGTTGAGAGAATTTTGTTTTTAATTCAAACATTATAATTTCTTGCCTTTAACGTACCTTACTTTCATATTCTCTTCTTTTTATCCCTCTTTCTTTGCACTTTGCACACTGCACTTCTTAGCTGTTTAAGGTCTGTTTTATTCACATCATTGCAACAGCTTTTGAATAATTAATAATCAACCTTAATTTCCTTTTCATTTCATATAATACGTACTGCCATGCTCAATACATTTCCCAAAATTTCGACAAATTTATCCTCAATCTATTCTCTTGCACTTACCCACTGATATCACATAAAAAAATAAAAATAATAAAAATAAAAATCACAATTGTATAGTGATATTGCAATTGCCTGGTGATATTGCATCGATCTTCTAACGAAACGTACTATGATGTTCACCCTCATCTCTTATCAACAATTGTTTCCTTTCACAAAACTCCATAATGACTGCCCTTCAATTACTCAGGTCTCGAGAATTATGGCCTAGGGAGGCTCAACTCTTACTTTTTCGTACAAATTTTAGGACCGGATTAGGTATGGAAACGCGGTGTTATTACCTATTTCCCAAGATCTTCGAACGACATAATGAATTCGAAAACAGTTAAATACATCGGCGAATTGTCGTTTTATATCCTCCCACTTGGCTTGTTACATAAAATCACTTATTTAAATATCAATTCAGAACTAGTGCTAAATTATTACCTGTTCCGTGACAATCAACGGAAGAAAGAGATCAACGCGGATTTTGGCGGGAAACGCACGACGAATGACGATCGCTGATTGGCTGAAAATAAAGCGCTGAACCGTGATGTTGGTTCTTTTCTAGAATCTGTTCATCATATTACATATTAAATATACTTCACATTTATTAATAGCTTTCGGCCTCGTCGATAATAATTTACACATCGATGGGTTGTTTACGATGTTTAGTGTGAATATATAAGAATCTATTCCACGGAAACCATATATATTCTCTAACGACAATATTGCTCCTCCCCCAAGACTAGTTAATGATGACCTGAAGTATATCAGGGAAATTCCAGAAAAAATAAAGATAAACTACCCTAATATCACGCAAGTAAACACTCGCATGCGATTTCTAGGAGCACCACAACCGGTAAACGTGTTATATCGAGGTTCTGTGAGTTAACCGATGGCCGCGCCAAGCTTTCGGCGCTCCAGCGAAGTTCAGCAAATATGCATACGAATATTTTAACAAGGTGAAGTTCGACGCAATGCCTTTATGATGGCCGTCAATAGCGTTACTGTGGATGGTTTCCGCGA